GGACCATGGCCCCCTCCCCCCCCAGAACAATACCCAATCCCAAAGGAAGTAAGGGAAGATGTACAGATCGTCATCTGGATATTACATGATCAAGGCGACATCAAAAAGGGCACTTCACACACCAACGCGCCAGTGTGGCCAGTTAGAAAACCAAACGGGACTTGGCACCTTACTACTGACTATCATGCAGTGAATCAGGTCACACCTGCCTTTATCCCCTCTGGTAGCCTGCCTCCCCGAAATTAATGCAAAGGTGCCACACAGGTACAAGTGGTTTTTAGTATTGGACTTTTCCAATGGGTTTTGGTCTATCCAGTCGAAGGAGCGGGGACACCCAAAGGAAAACTGCATTCACTTGGGAATCAGAACAGTATTTTTGGACACAATTACCTCAAGGCTTTCATAACTCCCTGTCCATTTTCCGTCAGAAATTAAAGGAAGTGCTAAAAGCATTGAACACCAAGGCCAAATGGTGGGCCCAATATGTTGATGCTATTTTAATTATGACAGAAACAAGAGAAGCATGTTTGGAACGTACTAAACAAGTTCTTGAAGTTGTAGAGAAGATGGGTCTTAAACTAAATGGCACCAAAGCACAGCCTGTTACACAGAGGTGGAATAGCTAGGTACCAAGATAAGTCCTATTGGGTGGGGAATTACCTCTGCTGAGGTAATTACTCACGCATTTAACCCCTGCTATTGATAGGAAAACTTTGCAGAGATTTTTAGAGTTTGTAGGTTTGTGTAAGGAATTGATACCAGATTACAGTGCTATAGCAAATCCCCTGCAAAATTTGCTGTGAAGTACAGGAAACTGGCAGTGGGGAAAGGAGGAGGCCAACACTTGCAATAAAATTATTACACCTATAAGGGAGTCAGAAGAATTAGGAAGCACCATCAGTGGAGCCTACATGATATAAGAAATAGCCTTGGAGTATGCAAGTTGCTGCCTTTTCAGTGTAGAGCATGGTGGTCATGGCCAGAACTATTTACCACAAAGGGAATTAATCAAGCCAAAGAGGTTAAATGACAAAAATGGGACTTTTCCATCTCTTTATGGGATGCCGGGAATACAATTTTTGGGGTGTGGAAAAAATAGCAGATGCATCTGCACATGCAAATCACCTCCAAGCGGAGGTGGGGCTGTTAACAAAAGGGGGATTAGCCTCCAAACAAGTATTGAAATCTATGGACATGTTCATGGCAACTCTGGGAATTGAATCAATTAGAGTCACAAAAGAATCCATGCAGTCTATCTATTGAATCAATTAGAGTCACAAAAGAATCCATGCAGTCATATCTATACATGCAGGATACTGCATGTATACAGGTACAATTAGCCCTTAATTAACATCTTTTGCATATTACACGAGACATCACTTTATATCTGTGGCCACTAGGAATATGGGGTCACAACTTGCCATGCAACATAAAATCCCGATGGGCTTTTAGGGATACATAGACTGCTTTCTGGGAAGGATGTTCAAAGGGGATTTGCCAGTTTTGAGTAAAGGGGATGGGAAACGAGACGTGGACCAATGCGCAACTTTAACAAACAGGGTTGGGGGTTAGTGCGTATGGGGTTGGGTAATACATGGAGAGATATGGGAAATCTATACACCAAGTGGATCACAATTCATAATAAAAACCCCTCAGAATCAGGCTCAAGTAAATCTGGGTAGGGGTGGGCAATTTGTGGGAGGAGTGGCCCTTACAAGGACTTGAACTTTCCTGTGCCAAAACAATACATGCTGGAGAATTGTTTACGTTTGGGCAATGGCTTTGTTGGGAGGGGACTGCTACCCTCCTCTGGGAAAACATGACTATTACGCAAATGCAACTGATAAATAAGTGTGTGGCTCCTTGGGCTCCTTCTAAAATGTGGCTAGGGTTCCCCTCTTGCTGCTGTGCCTGAGCTACTTTGCAATGCCACATGACAATCGTCTCATTCACCCTGGCAAAGTCTGGATGAACACAAAAACCAGGAGCTGGCCCCTACGTTTTAGACTTAGCTGTAGGTATCCAGTCCTAGCCTCGCTTTGAGGTAGTGCAGCCTTCAGCTTCAGGTAATGCAATCTTCAACTTTACAATGAATATTATACAAGAAGCAAAGATCACATTTATTGTGGTTGGTGATACATTGTATATTACGATTAACAAAGGCCTTAATGGCCTTCCAGAACTGAGAACAAAAATATTAATAAATGTAGTACTGTAGTTTCAACTGCTCTTTACAGATATTGTATTAGAAAGATCAGACAAATAAATTTTAATCTATTACCACACAGATAGAATTAGCTAACATCTCTTAGCTAACTGAGTACATCTCTCCAAAATTATGAAAGACGAACGTGATGTCCCAAGCAGAAATACTTTTACACTAGTTCATAGTTGTTAATAGTTATTTTTGTATGCTCCCCGCATACATCTTGTGATCATTGGCAAGAGAATTTTGTTCTTCTTCTGACTTCTTTTTCGATAACTTCAGTCTCCCCAGTGTCAATAACAACTTCTTCATGGACAACATCTCTAGGTGATTCATGCATCTTGATGAAACGCTGAAGTACTTCGATGTCTGTTTAATGAAACAGAAGTATAATTGGATTCTAGCTGTGGATAGAAAGGTTGTTTTTATCTGAAAACATCAAGATTATACTGTGCTGGGCATTGCCCCTCTAGCTGACTCAGAACAGTAAACCCAGGCATCTGTTTGCTTATGTATGGCAATTTGGGCTCCTTCAAAATCTTCTGAACTCTTTCATTCAGAGAGAACACAGCAGGAGTGTTCCTCTTTTCTCAGGAAGCACTTTAGTTTTTCTTTAGGGGCAAAGCCACTTTCAGAAGTTCCTGCTGCCCTCCTACACAATCTGTGTTCATGGTCCTTGTGTCCACTTCTTTCCTGAAGATCATCACCTCTCTGCCTTTGTCAATGTAACGTGCCTTGCTGTAAACTGGCTCTGTTAACTGATCCAAGTTCAAAACACAGACACACAATTTTTTTTCTTAACACAAATTTTTCTCTCGGGGGCATCAGTAGGAATGTTAATTTTTGTCTTCAGAAGGTCAAATTCGGATAATCCTTTTGAATGTATGTAGTATCCTATACAACCAATGATCCCTTTTTTCTGATAAGACCACATTTGGATAAAATCACACTGTAAGGCTGCTTGTGGCAATGGATCTGAAATATGTAAGCAGGATTTGGGAACCTCTTCTCTCTCAAACCTAGATTTCAGTAGGCCATTAAGAATTAAAGCAAAGATACCCTGTCCTGTTAATCAGCATGCCTTTCTCGAGAGTATCTATTTCCCAAATTACGGGAATCCGCATATGGAATTTTTCAGTTACCTCTCCTCAAGGAGTCAGGACATGGCAGAGTGAAAATGTCGTTTTGCTTGTTTAGAGAGGAACGGGGGTTTTTTGCATCCTGCATACGTAAGTAGAATGTCAGGAGATCTTCCCTTTTTGGTCTTTCGGTGAGGTGCTTCTTCCGCCAGGATCTTGCTGACTCATCTTCTGCCTGACTGATCGTCGTTATGTGCCGGGTTGTTTTTTCCACGTATTTCCCACCTTCCAAAATGCCACAAAACAATTAGTGACTGTTAACTTCAAAATGAGAATCGACAGAAGACAGCATAATGAATGGCCAAGGGAAAGCTTCGTCAATATTTCTCAGGAAACAAGGCCTTTATGTGTGAGATCTTGGTGGTCTCTGTGCACCTATCAGTTCAGTGCTGGATGCATAAGCTAGCTGTAAAGTCTGACTGCACAAAGTAGTCATGGCGTAAGCATTTGAAAATTAAATACACATTCGACAGAACATCAGCAAAGGTTATAAGCAAATATCAGATAGTAAAGCTTATTGAAAAACTTACTTATGTTCATCTTTTGCATACAGCCAAGAGTGGGATGGTCGTACGGTGTGTGAGAGAAATCAAGCGTTTTGTGTCAGGAGGATCAATAGTTTTTCATGGTGCTGATCCCAATAACTTCTGTTTCACTCTTAGATCTTTGTTTCTAAACTGCTTAGTAATAGACCGCTGCTAGGCAAGATAAAAGATTTGTCCCCCTTTCTTCTTCATGAGAAGCTGATCACAAACTCTTGAGGAAATGGAAGTAGATGCTGCATTTATTGTTGGCCAAAACAAAACCAAAAGCAACTGCTTCATACCTACAGAGTTTGCAGAGCCTGACTGGCTTAATTGCTCCCTTGGTGAGGTGAGTGGAAATGGTATGTTGAAACTTATCATCTCGATATAAGGCTATAAATAGAAACAAGTACTGTGGGATAATGACAAGAACGTTTATTGCAATGTACTTCCTCCATAGGCTTTCAGTCAAGCTTAACCTGTTTGTAACCACCTACAGCTCACCCTCAATAAGTTGAGACCGTCAGAAAAGGAACTGACGAGTTCACCGCAGCTTTTAGTGACCAACGATACTTCTGACCAACTGTCGTGGTTTAACCTCAGTCGGCAACTAAGCACCACGCAGCCGCTCGCTCACTCCCCCCCGGTGGGATGGGGGAGAGAATTGGAAGGGTAAAAGTGAGAAAACTCATGGGTTGAGATAAAGGCAGTTTAATAGGTAAAGCAAAAGCCACACACGCAAGCAAAGCAAAACAAGGAATTCATTCACTCCTTCCCATGGGCAGGCAGGTGTTCAGCCATCCCCAGGAAAGCAGGGCTCCATCACGCGTAACGGTTACTTGGGAAGACAAACGCCATCACTCCAAACGTGTCCCCCCTTCCTTCTTCTTCCCCCAGCTTTATATGCTGAGCATGACGTCACATGGTATGGAATATCCCTTTGGCCAGTTTGGGTCAGCTGTCCTGGCTGTGCCCCCTCCCAGCTTCTTGTGCACCTCCAGCCTGTTCAGTCAGTAGAGCATGGGAAGCTGAAAAGTCCTTGACTAGTGTGAACACTACCTAGCAACAACTAAAACATCGGTGTGTTATCAACTTTGTTCTCACCCTAAATCCAAAACACAGCACTGTACCAGCTACTAGGAAGGAAATTAACTCTATCCCTGCTGAAACCAGGACACCAACTCACTGCAGTACTTGGAGGTAGAAACAAGTAACAATGTTTCCTGTAGAAAATCAGTGTAACAAAACCCCATGCCAGATCTGGAGAAAAATCTATTTAACAAATCTTTTAACAAATTGGTTTTACACACTCACATTAATGCCATAAAGGAATGGCACGTGTGATATGCTGGCTTGTTGCCATCCTCCCCTTGTAGAGCGCAGGGCCCTCTGTTGAGGAGCCGTCTGTGCTATGGTCTTGTCAGCACGCCGACCATCTGGGCTTGCCCCACTCCTTGGTCTGACTGACTGGGAGCAGCGTCCATCATTATCAATGCAGAGCATGCCTTTCACTCTTCTTCTGCTGTTTCTGCTGGTGCTGGCACACACGCTGCCATCCACAGCAACCCTCACTTTTCTGTTACAAATCTCTACATTCTCTCTTTCCCCAACGCTCAGAAGCAGTCTCAGATTAACATAAGAATGTTAATTTTGCAATTCTGGTTTTCTCTCACCAAACCTAAATAATGGAGCAAACGCTGAATTAAGTCTGCAAATACTTTAAAAAAAAACCCCAACAAATCAAAAACAAAGCAAAAAAGTCCCCATGCAACTCTGTCAAATGAGTATACATTACAGACCTTCAAGGGTTTTTTATAGTTAGTGTATGAAAACACTATCCAATGAATACAGGCACACAGACATAATCTGAAAGGCAGCCCAGAAGCCAAAAATCTAAATCAGAAAGTACTCACTTAGCATGCATATACAGAAGGGTGTATAAAATGTTTGAGAGGTATATGTTTAGAGAAATCTCGTGAATATACAGAAACATTTTGCCAGCTACAAAAGGTTAGCAAAATTTGAATATCACCTGATTCAGTACTTTCAGTATTCTGATTAAAATATACAGTCCATAGTATATAGTAATATGCACAACCATTTTACCAGTGTTTTCAAAATTTCATAATTCAACAACTGTGCAAGTATAGAGTAAGACTCACTGATTTTACAGACACATAGCACACTTGAAATGGAGTAAAACAAAGTCCTGTGCTTCACAGGGGCTAATTTCACAATATCCAGGAGGTCCATATTCCTTAAAATTCAGCTTTAGCAAGTCCACTTGCAAGATTATTAATGCCAGGTCACAGCGAAGTGAGTGTGTTATGCAAGGTTACAGCCAAAAATACTGAAGTCACACACGCCTTTAGTAAACATAAGCATGCTAAATTATTATTAAATGCAAATATGATTTTAATAAACAAGTATATTTTTTAGCTGGGAGACATCTTCTCCTGGTGTACTTGAAGGTTGGTCTGAAGAATCTTTTTCTGGATTGCATAAAGCGTCTGCAGAGGAAGATGTGTTGTTTGCGCCTGGTTCAGCAGCGTGACTGTGTAACATTTGCTCAAGTCTCTGAATACCTGTAGAAAGGAAATACAGAGGGAAATACTGACTGGACGTATGGAAAAAAAATTCACCACGAGAGTGATTGAACACTGAAACGGGTTCCTCGGGGAGGCTGCATAATCCCCATCTTTAGACAGTCTCAAAACTTGACTGAACAAGGCCAACCTGCCTCAACTGAACAAGAGCAACCTGCTCTCCAACTTAAGAGACTGGCCCTGCCTCGAGCAGGAAGTTGTACTAGATGACCCGAGAGTTCCCTTTCAGTCTACATTTTTCTCTGACTCTATACGCTCCCATTACTTCACAGATGTCCCCTTTGGCAACGATATAAAGCATTCATTCAAGGTTAAGTGTTTTACAGCACAGGAGAGGGATACCTTTTTCATATCCAACGTGAGCCACATAAAAATGAGGGATGGTGGGGAATTCCCACACGTTATAAAGCATAATTTGAAAGAGTAAAAATCCTTTCACATAAAATTTGGTTCCTTACTTCTGATAGAGTAAAAATAAATTTTAAAATTAAATTCTGAAAGCTTTAGAGGTTTAACATAATCCAGCGTAAGTGCTTTGTAACTGATGCTCTGGGCCAATCTAATATTTCTCAGTTCATATGAACTCTAAAAATGCCCCTCGCAAGCTGAGAGAGACTAATTAGGTTTGAACTCATTATTTATAATGTTAACGTTTCTTAAAACCCGCGTGCTACTACCTGCCATATTAGAAGTAAAACCCACTTACACAAGTAAATCTTATCTACGGAATCGGAGAAAACCAGTCTAAACCATCCAGGTTCATAACAATAAAAAGCTTTTCCAGGACTAATCAGGAGTTTTTTATCAAGGAACTTCTGCCATAATTCAAGTTCGGCTTCAAATGTCTGTGATCTTAAGAACTAAAAGAAGAAAATAATTTTTTATTAAAGGTTGAACAAGTGCATGAATTCATTGAAACTATTTTCCAGTACCTGATACTAAAGTGTGTAACAACATGCACAAGTAATTTTTACATTTCCAACTTTTACATTCCCACCCCTTTTCAAACTTCTTACATACTTTTCTGAAGTCTGCCCACACATAGAGTCCTCCTGAACTTTTGAGCACAGGTATTCCAACATCTGCAAGCCCATCCACAAGAATATTCTGTGCTTCTTTAAGTCGCTTTTTGTTGGTGGGAAAAAACACATTATCCAACCAATCTATCAAAGCAAGAAAAATATAATTCTGTTTTATTTCCACCTGCAATGGAAAAATAAAACAGTTCAATGGAAACATTTCTAGTGTGGCTAACCTCTGTCCCTAAGGAACTGACTGAGAACATGCTGAACAGGTCCAGGACAGCTATGGAAGACAGCCAGTTGATTCACAGCTTTCTGAATTTCATGATTTCGGGTGTACAATACTGCAACTCTGATACCACTCATACCAAAATCCTTGGAGGACAAAAAGAAGAGAGAGAGGTGCAATTTTTACTTTATGTTTGTGCTTTGTCAAGCCACCAAGACAAGAGTCATTGTGATGCATAGGAAAAAAAACCTTCTGGAGAAAATTCTCAACATTGCCAAATGGAGTCCCAAGTGTGATAAAAACCAGCCAGCAACTTCTAAACAACCCTGGGGCAGGGAGGTCAGTGGCTTTAACAGGGTTGCTTTATATGCTTGGCTCATACCCTTGGGCTGTTGCCATTATACCCCGCTATCGTTTCCAAGCAGTCATCAGTTTACTGTTCCCTCCAAGAGAAGAAAAGGCAAAATGCTACAGATCTGAAATGTGCTTATATGTTTCAATGCCTTTAATACATATGCATTAACTGTTGCTGTTAAGTAGATCCCACAAATTTTACACTACCAAAGAAGAAAACAAATTAATAAACAAAGAGAAACTCAGTTTGGCACCTGTAACACAAATTATGTCAGAATAGCCCGACGAATTTTTGTGGAGAAATATCTTAAATTAAAACACAAACATTGTATTTTGACCTACCTTGCTGAAACCCCACATAAAATGTGTCCGTTCTGGATCTGGTAAACTGAATGAGAAAAGAGGAAGACAAGAACTGTTGCTATAGAAGAACAAGTTACGCAGGTTACAAAAATGTTTAAATTTGTAAAATTGTAGTAATTTTTTAGTAAAATTGGTATATAATCCTTTCGAGTGACATGACATTTTTTCAGAGATCTTTTAACAAAACATTATCCCATGACACTGATCACCCAAGTGTGTGCTGAGGCACCAATTCACAGGAAAAAAAAACCAGAACGGATCAGCACTAAGATGTAATGGTCCAGTTAAAATCCCAGATTCTCACTGCATAGTTAGTGATCACACCCATATTAAAACAAAAGCAGTATTTCCATAAGTGATGCACAACTGCTCTTGTACTTGATGGAGAAAAACTGTTTGCTCAACTGTGCTGTAGTTCAGGCTAGGGAAGGGAGAAGTGAACATTTTAGGGCATGCATCTACCCAGTGAGGTGCAACTAAGCAAAATACACCTCAGCGTACCACTGCAGATGATGATTTTTTCTCCTTTGTGTAACTTCGTGCAGGTAGGGCCAAGGCTGGAAATTTCCTTCTTCAGCGTAATGGAGCTGGGTGAACTTTCACAATAACAAAAGTATTTTTTTAGGCTTCATTTCTGGTTCATGATCTTGTATGGGTGAGGCAAAAACCAGTCACTCACTGAGCTTGGTTGTACTTGCATGGACTTGCAAATTTCCCATCGGTATGAAATTTATGCAGTTATACAAAGACAATCACATACTTTTGGGGAAAGAAGTTTTATTAGTCAGATACCAATAGGTTTAAATATTCTTGAATCATTTATTCTTTTCGGCACCTGTTAGGAAACTAAGAGCCCAACAGCATACTAGTCAGGAAGGAGACTCATTACAGCAGGTAACTTGCACAACCTTAGGCACCTTCATTACCATTACAGTGAGAGCCTTGCTCAGGCTGTGTAACAGGGAACAACGAAGAAAAGCGGTGGCAAAATGATTAAGGGCTCTGTCAATTTTTATTGTTATTACTGTATCATCATACACATTGGCTGGAAGCAAGAGATCTGCCATTTAAAGCCATCTATGAAGAAGATCTCATGTATTAACTAGTCTCATAGTTGCGAAGACTTGGATATGAGTTCATTTGAACTGTACCAGTTACACTAGCTAACCAGAAGTTTGAAAAAAATGGTATGGGTTCTATTTGGGATTAAATATGTTCTAATCCCTCGTAAGAAATCACACTTACCAATCTAAGCTAAGAACACTGGTGAAGGTGGTATCATCATAAACAGACAGCATGTATATTTCATCCATTATTACATGCAATCCATACCTATGTATAGAAAAATAGAGTCATATTAACATATTTAAAAGAAATTTCTTTGCATATATATATGTATAATCCCAACTACTGCCATAGCAAAGTATCCATAAGCACGCCTATTTGCTATTGTATACCCCCTACAAATTTTACACAAAGAGGTCACAAGGCGTACTGTGAGCGCTTGTGCATCACCATCTTCTATTTATACACATTCTGTATTTCGCAGCAGCAATAACATTCCATATATCTGAAACAAAATCCAACTGCATGCTCAATCCAATGGTTCTCTGGAATATGTAAGGTCCCACCCAACTCTTATTTAAAATTTAAAATGAACACAGTGGTATATTATAAACTTCTTTACCCTGCAAGATTTCTCCAGTGAGCCTCGAAGTCAAATGCAGGTGGTGTTAGATTTTAAAAAAGACTTGCCATGCACTTAAGATAACTCTCTCATACACTCTCGCTGTGAAAGCCCCAGTAAACAGTAAGCCATGTTATCATACTTGATACCAACAAGCCATGCACATATTTATAAATACTGAAAAAACTGCAGAATGGTTTTAAACACCCAAGTAGTGCAGGTATCCTCTCCTAAGTAAACCTCATTTAATTTGAAAGGTGAGTTCTATAATTTTTTTAAAAAGGAAGTTTGGTTTCAGGATAGTTTTTACATTAAAAATAAAACTATTGTTTCTAATCCTTAACCTCTAACATTATTTTAGTACCAGCTTAAGTTGGTTGCATCCTGAAATCCATGGGGCATGCTGAGAAAAGATACATTCGCCTTTTTAAAAACTTGGTAACTGGAAGTAGCACATTGAATTCTCCTGTCCTGGTTTCGGCAGGGATAGAGTTAATTTCCTTCCTAGTAGCTGGTACAGCGCTGTGTTTTGGATTTAGGGTGAGAACAAAGTTGATAACACACCAATGTTTTAGTTGTTGCTAGGTAATGCTTACACTAGCCAAGGACTTTTCAGCTTCCCACGCTCTACCGACTGAGAAGGCTGGAGGTGCGCAAGAAGCTGGGAGGGGGCACAGCCAAACTGGCCAAAGGGACATTCCATACCATGTGGCGTCATGCTCAGTACATAAGCTGGGGAAAGCTGGCCGGGGGGGCCGCTGCTCGGGGACTGGCTGGGCATCGGTCGGCGGGTGCTGAGCAATTGCACTGTGCATCACTTGCTTTGTGTATTATCATTATTACTATTACATTATTATTATTATTTTATTTCCATTATTAAACTGCTTTTATCTCAACCCACGAGTTTTTCCCACTTCTGCTCTTCCAATTCTCTCCCCCATCCCACCGAGGGGGGGAGTGAGCGAGTGGCTGCGTGGTGCTCAGTTGCCGACTGAGGTTAAACCACGACATCTACCAACCTCCTCTGCTGTTTCCGTGAAAAGAAAATCATGCCAAAAATGCAGGAATGTTGTGTTATCCCCAGTAATCTTTGGTAATTAATGAACAACTAATACCAACCTACTCTATTTCAGATTGTCAGAAACTAAGTATTGTTAGTTTCAAAGTGTGTACAGGATTTTGCAGTCATTCTTTGGCAGAAGCTCACTGAAATAATAAAGGAATGTATCTTTTCCTAAAAATATATAAATGCTTTCCAAAAGGAAGTGATTTTTCTCCATCAGTACTCAAGGGATTCAGGAGATTGTTAGAGCTTAGAACATGAACTCTGAGCTGGTTAAGGATAAAAGAAGTGGAATGGGGATGAGACATTTCAGAAGCATCTTCCTCTGATGGAAAGTGAATTGCTTGCACATCTCGAGCTAAGTAGGTATAAAAGATGCTACAAAACTTCAGACTGTTGACTTACTCCTTGTCAGTTCAATTACTTTCCCCCAATATCAAATGTTAAGATTTTCTTATTTTGATAATGTTTCATATGACGGTGCTGGCCATGTTTACTACTACTGCTAAAGACTGATAATCACCTCTTGTCATTTTTCTGAGCCGTGCATCAAAGCAGTTTAATAAAGAAACATTGTAGGCAAATAAAAAGCTTTATAAGTTTAAACCACACGTAAAAAAAAAAAAAAATCCCAACAGTATTTCATTCAGAAAGACATTGTTGGGTCCCAGTTTAAGCAATTTATTCTAGTGTTCCCAGGAAGGCCAAGTAAATAGGATAGTTACACAAGAAACATCATCAGGGCCCTGTCCACCACCTCTTCTGAACATGTACAAGCAAAGAGCAGGCGATCACCAAAGGTGATTTTTCATCACTGCTATATTGCATTAACCGAAAATGAAATACCAAACAAACAGTACTAGGGCTCAAACCTGTGCGCAAACTCTAGACATTCTTTCAGTAACTGTGCTGGGTAAATGTCCCCTAATGGATTGTGGGGGTTGATCAGGATTAATGCTCTGACTCGGATGCCCTGAAAAAAGAAAAACTGGTAGTTGGAGGCACAAACAACGTCAAACCAATGACTAGCGAGGATGCAGCGAGGAAATTTGTGAACGCTTCAGTGAAAAGCAGCTTTTGAAAAGTATTTAATTATATACTATAATTACCACACAGACTAAGGTTCCAGCTACCGACCTTGTTTCATAATTTATCCAATACCACTGCAAAAAACATACTAAATAGTTCATTAGTAAATGAAAATCAGGTTAGCACTCATTTGAAACACCCATTGATAACAACAGGCAAGATTATGATGTTGTAGGGATTAATACTGGTTCTACAGGCATACTTCCAAAATAATTTCCCAGGACTGAGCAAAGTTACTGTTGATAAACATGAGAAAGCTGAACAGAAATTGGACTTTGACTTCTAATAACCTGGCAAGTAATAATTTTTTCAGTGTGCTTTTTTCTAAGTAATAGGATCCGCAGAAGACTGAAAATTGAATTACTTGGTGTTCTATGAGATGCCCAGAAGTCTTGGGCAAATAATTACTTTTTAATTATATTTATCAACAGTGCAGAATTTCTGTTACGGAAATTCTCTCTCCACAGAAGCTAAATATTCTACTGTGTAATAAGAAGAGTCCCACATGATCAAAAATTAGATTACAAGTACAAACATCACCACTCTACAGGTATTTTTCAGAAAATCACCTAGTTTCTATTTGCTAAAAAAATCCTTAATGTACATTAACATAAGCTGTATGCAGCAAATACATTTTTATTGTACACAATCAAACAGTGCAATGACTACAGCAGGAACTTTCAAGACTTTAAACATATCAACATGAGGAGTTGCCTTATGACTTCATGTTTGGGAGAAACTTGAAATTAAATTATTATTTTTTGTTTCCGCATTTTTAGTTTTCAGAAAACCTCACCCACTGCAAAGTCTCACTCCACCCAAGCCTCCTCCAAAGGAGATTATTTGCAAAGACCAACTCCCAAGGAACTCCAGGAAATAAAATTCAATGATGAGGAAGCCCTGATATTTGCTTTCCCTGCCACGTGCAATTTGTTTGAACGTTAATGGGTACTGTGAGCAAGAACTTCACACAAAATGAACTTTCAGTGTATTGCCTTTGATTCCAGGGAGAAATTACCTGAAAACAAGGTAAGTTGTAAATACTAAGCACAAACAGCTGTTTCACAAGTAGTCCTTGCACAATAGCGTATTTAGTGTATTAGTACATCTGACGTGTGTTAAGCAGAAGATGCTGAGCGAGGCATTATTGTTCGTAGGAACAGCTGCTGTGGGATGGCAGTTTCTCAATTGCTGTTCTAGTCTAGGTCCTCCAGCTATTTATGATATTACATGCATCCAAAGCAGATGTTTCTAATACTATTCGCGAGAACAGTTGCAGCTCTAAAAGGATGACAAACACAATCTGTAAAGAGTTAATCTGGCCTGTGATCCAGCACCTTGTCCAGCCAGTTCATGTCCTGGCAGCCACAGTAACACTGCAGGGATGCTAGCTGCCTCCCTCTGCTAGGATGAAGTGATAAATGTCTGAATGCTCGGGCTCACACCAGCTGGCAAAGGCACAGACAGATGACACAGACATACAGATGGTGTCTAAACATAGGCACCATGCTGATCAGGCAATTAGCTAACTAGGATAGCATCAACATATCTATAAAAAAAAATGTTACGCACACATTTGCGTGTATCCAAAATACCCACTTTTTATATGTGACCTTACTTATAACTGACCTTTGTAAGTGACCTTCCTGGTAACTATATGCTTTATCTATTGTTAAACCTCATTTTCTATCCTGGAAGAGGACACACAACGTCCATCTCGATGTTTTGAAACATCACTACCATCATCACCACATCTTTGGTAAAATGTTTTACTATTCAGCCTGTGCTTCCTCCGCTGGATTTTTTCAAGGATGAGCACAAACAGTTAAGTTTAAGTGCATTTATAATTTTCCACTAAGTGAGCGGATTATGAATATCAAGACAATAGGAATAGGAAACATTTTAGCCTGAAATACTGGTGAGGACTATTTTGTGGACACTCGCAAACCCAAACATTTCCACAGGGAAGACAAGCGGTTCCAAAGACAGATAGGAATGTGAAGAAAAAAAAAATTGTATGTGACAAGCAAGAATATCATCATTTATGCAATCCTGATCAGAATAAAATCACTGAACATGCTAAGTATTTTGAACTAATGAAGTTTCCTAAACTCTGGAAAAATTGCGTTTGTTATTTTTTGTTTGCTAGCAATTCCTTGTTAGCTGGAACTCAGAAGAACCCTCTTCAAAACCACATTAGACATGTTTCTTTAATTAACTAAGTGGGTCGTTACAGTAGCATATTCTCTCTTCTGAGGGTCAGAACAATAGCTTGTTTACAACACTTTGAATTCCATTAAAATCTACAGAGAAAGAAACTTGGTCTTGAAACGCAGGTTAAGATCTGTTCTTCATAAAACAGAGTCAGGGAGTTTCTCTGCATTTTGTTATAGTGCCCAGATTATAAAATCAACTCGACTCCTGTTGCCAGAGTTGGACCCGCCTCCGTCACAAGACTGAAAATCTGCACAGATGAAACTGTACAAATGCTTCAGTGCTGAGAACATACGCTGCTTACAAAATAACTAGGAAAACATGACAATCAGAAATCAATGTTACTGATACCTGCTTTTTAGCTCTCTGTAATGCATCTTCTAATTTTTCAACTGTTAACTGGAAAGGGTGACTTTCTTCATCAGTCTCCTACAGAACAAAAAAAAAAAATCAACAAGAATAAAAAATATTAAAAATATAAAAAAATAAAAAAAGAAGATAGTGAAGAAACACTCCTGCCTAGTGAAAATACAATTGCTACTGGCTTTTATAAAATAAAAGAATCTGAAACTAAGATCAGCCTTTTCCATAAAACTCAATTATGTTGTTTTTAGATGTTGCCCTTATCCACGACTACACTATCAGCGACTTACAGAAGAACTTGTGTACTTGAAAGATCACTTTTTTTTTCCCCCTCTGACTGTATCATTTGGTCTCATAAAAGATTCTACCCCCCCTTTGACTTGCCTCACAGATTACTGAGCTTTCAAAGGGGGAAGCAGTGTTACAAAACTTATGTGGTAGATACGTCTTTCAGTGCTTAAGGGGAAAAATTTGCAAACCAAATTTACTCATAGTAGGAGTGACAGACTTAGAGCTGGTGAATTATAATTCAGCATGTCAGTGCAGAACAGCGTCTGCACGGAACGAACATAATCCTACACATCTGATGACACCAGCCTCCTATCATGCTGCAGCCTGAGAAAAAGACAGGCTGTCTCTGAAAGTGCTAGACTGGTCCCGTCTCTTCACTTGGACTCGGTTTGCATTTTCAGGTTTTTTTGATTGTTCCCTCTGAAATGTCTGTTAATGTATGTGAATAGCTAAAGCTTTACCTCACTGAACAAGGGCACGTGAACAGGCTGTATTCCGCCATATAGCCATGTTTTCGAATTTATACCACCATAGTATGGAGCTGGAATAAGATATCCATCTAAAAACATTAAAAAATGAAATGAACTTTTCTCATGAGCAACTATTTTGCTATACTCTAATCGACTAAACTGACAATCTAAGAATTTGGCAGCTGATTTAATCTCAAAGCCTTCACTGTGGCCTAAACCAATATTTAAACAAAACTGAAAATTAGGCATACGTCCATCAACCCAAATTCGTTCCCAATATTCTTCCTCAGCATTTGCAATAGCAGATTCGACAGTCGTATGTATCTTCAGTAAAAGGGAACGGACCCGATCAACTACTTGTTTTATTTATTTATTTATTTAAATAATAATGACAAATAATGATCTTGCGCTCAATGTTTTGCTAATGCTCGGTTACTACCAATTTTTCATCAGGAATTGCCGCACACCTCAACTACTTCTTTCTGGTTGCCAAGGTGCTGTCTTGCAGCCAGGGAGCCTACAGCACTGTGGAACTTGTTTCCCTCCTCATTTTTTTTGCTGTGAAGTAGCCCCAGGTTGGTGTTCTCCTGGAGATACTGCAAAAGCCCTGCGGGACAGGGTTTCAGAGGGGGCGGAGTGGGCTTCCTACGTTAACGAAGGGGTAATAAGGAGCCTGTCAGCGTTCAAGCAGAAGAGTTCCTGTTAAAGCTGTGCAAATACAATGAAATCGGAACATCTTAAAAGACACGGATACAAGAAGCCTTCAGTAAACGATCATTTAAAGCTGTTAAACAAAACTAACTGGTTTCACAGCGCTTTTGCCACCAATATGCTGAAGTCATTGCACCACGTTACTCTACATCACTCCACCCTCCTCCCAAGGGCTTTTGGTGCCAGTAACAGGGTGCCATGGGGGCGGCACAGCCTCCTGCACTGGAGGCCACCTAAGTCATCCTGCTCACCTTCCTTCCCTGGCAGGTCTTCGTGGATTTCCCCATTCTCTGCTGTACTGCACGCCTGCGCTGCTCTCCTCATTCCAAACAAGAGAGGAAACCATTTTCCCTTGCCGAGCTCTCTTTTTCCTCCTACTGCCTCCTTCTGCTGTGAGCAGATTGTTTCCCGGGACTCCATTCCTTCTGCTTTGCATTCCCACCTCTGCTTCCTCCTCACCACCACCCTTATTCGACCGGGAATCCCTCTTTTGCTGCAGCTCCTTTCCCCTGTCCCAAATTCCTTCTACCTGTTTTCCTTACCTGGGTCCCAGATTTCAACCCAGTACACCTCCCTCCCTGTGTGCCTGCTCCCTCCAGCTTCCACCATGGTTCCCACCTCTTTTTCTCATAACTTTTCAAAATACACTGCATTCTCTTCATACCCTTCTCCTCTTCCTCTAACGCTCTTAAAAAACTATAGATTGCATTCCAGAAAGCGAGTGGGCCTGCTGATACCCCAAACATTTGCCACCATTCTAGAAATAGAGGCATTATTTCAAAGACACTCTGCCAGTGACAAAGAAATACCATGCCTTGCTTCATTCAGGCAGTTGGAGTAACAGCAGGCTGTCAGAAGTCACAATACGATTATATTCACTGCTAACAAATGGGTTTTTTAGTAAAATAATCAAGTTTTTACTCACCACCAGGGTCACATAATACAGTTGACAGAGTAGCAAAAACAGCACAACAGCCATTCATAACAGTTATCTGAAAGAAGTAGCACAAACTTTCATTTAGCAATGAAATATTTAGCAGAAATATCAGTACTTGTTTAAATTCATAAATTCATAAATATCAGCACTAGTTTAAACTAAAAAGAGTGAAAAGCCACACTACTACACCTATAACACTAGTCCTTGAGTGTTACACCTTGCCCACTTTTTCAAATGGAAAATTAACACTACTAAGACTTGTGCAAATCTTGCATATATCCCTCCTGTAGCATCTTGCTGACATTTGTGTTCAGATTTATTCATCTTTATCAGTTTAAGAAAAGTAAGATGCAAGGATAAGGCACTTGTCTTACATGGTCCGGATTCAGTGCTTTTGCAGCTCTGGCATAGTCAGTTAGAAATTCGGCAATTTCTTCTCTGAAGCTAAAATACAGAATTAAAGTCAAATATGCAAGCACGTATTTCTCAGGGGAAAAAAAGCACAAAATACACACAGAAGAATGAAGCTTACAAAAAACAGAACAAACGCACAATTCATTCTGTTATGAAAGCCTTGAAGATTTTGATTAAATAATATAATTTCCTCAGATACCCAGTGTGCTACATTTTGTGAGACAGAAGCACACAGAAGCCATCTGTTACCTTGAGTAACAGTGACTGTGACTCAACTATTATTGCTGTACACTAGAAAAATGAGAAAATAACGCGTCTTTGAGCCCGAGTGGGACCTGGTTTTGGAGAAAGGGCAAGAATTTGGGTACCAGAAACACTGAAACCTGAGTCAATGACAATTCTTTAGATCAAGACAGGCTTTCAGCCCGAGTGAAGGCGATGGTGGAGTTCCTATCGATCTTCAGCGAGCCAGTATTTCACCTCTACTCTTCACAGCCCCCAGAGTTTCAGTTTATCCCTCACCGAGCCTAGAATGAATCATTCCAGGAGCGATTCACCACATCGGTACGATTCACCACATCACTACATGCTCTCTTGCTTGCCGACAAGTCCCCAGATCCTTGACCTTTCACATTCTGGGTCTTTGTGGCACACTGAGGGTGGGGAGAAAACCAGAACAGAAATCCAGAAAAGTAACTCCTGCACAGGAACCCAAAAGCCTGCCAGCGTGTAGACGACAGTAACACACCTATCCTTTGGGCTTACCAGAGGAATGAAACCCCACCCAGCTTCACACAAGCCGTGACCAGCACTGGCGACAAGCAATGTGATAAATGGGAAGATGAACTCCTTACCTTCTAGTGCCTTGCGTATCAGAATACTGGAAAAGATGGGGCTGCAGATAATTCATGTCAGGCCTTGTGAGCTAGTGACATGAAAGAGAGATACTGTACAACACAATGTTCTTGGGAGTTTCTGTTCTGCTGTAGCAGAGTAAGACTTGATTTTTTTTTTTAAATTATTCAGTAACATTAAGGAAATGGAGAATATAAAAATTCATGAGTTACGATTATGTTTATACTTTGCACTTCTCTTTTTTAGTTTTAAGATATTAGAAAACAACATTAAAACATCATCAAAATGAAGGAAGAAAATATTGAAAGAATTATTTATTGGATTATTCTGTCATATATTAAAACAAGTCCTGAATAAGGCATTGAGGAAAAGCATCCCAGCTGTACCTAAGAGATTATGCAGCCACTTCTGAGAGATATCAAAGCTCAAACAAGGCTTGCAATATTTATGATATCAGCTTTTAATTCACATGTCAACTTTGACTAGCTTCTCAACCAACAAGAAGAAAAGTGACAGCAACCCCATCTGTTACAGAAGAAAAACAGCTGTATTATCAGCAGTGGCTTTCTGGCTCTCAAAGCAGGTGTGTGTCCCCCCCCTCCCCCCGTCCCCCCCCGCAAACTGGCTCAGTCCTGTATTCATTGTGGCATTCATTTTGGTTTATTCCTAAGAAAAAAGATTCTCTCCAGCTGCCAGCACTGCCAACTCATCAGCTAACCAATCCGTACATGGAGTTTATGCCTGACCCTCCATCACAAGCATTGCAAATGCGCTAGCAGTTGCACTAGTGCAAATTCATTACCTCATGGAATTAGGAAGGAGAAGCAAGAGGTAATTGGCAAGCTGCAGAAGCTGGCCTGGCAACTAGGTCTTCGTTTTGCTAACACATAAGGCAGAACACCATGCTTTGCAGCAGATGAACTAGAATTAACAACTTTGGGGAAAATACCGCCTTTAAAGAATTTCTCCATAGCTGCCTTGCAGAGACTGGCTCTTGCTGCGGTGCACAGCAGCATAACGATTAGGTCATAGCTTTAATTTTGCTCAAAGTCTGAATTTCATGTATGGAGCATTTTCAGTTAAAGTTTTGGCTTTGCCATCAGACAGGTGAGCATCTCATCAGGCCATGATTTTCCTCTCCGAAAATACACCTCTTCCTGAAACCTACCATTCCAAAGCAGTATTTTCTGCTGAAACAGGAACAGACTCTGCAGTTCTGTTTGGAGTACATGCTCAATCAAATGTGAAAGAAGTTCAAGCAAAAACCAAAACTACTCTGGTTTTCAACCAGAAGCAAGTTTTCAGTGTAACTATCACTTGGCAAATTATTGCCGAGTGTGCAACTGGAGCAGTACATAGAAACATATAAAGTATATAAACATATATAAAGTATGCTTCCTTGTGAAAGCTGTTAGTCACAGCACCGTCAGTATCCCACCCTAAACGTTCCTCCGCCTGTGCTAAATTGTTAACCGGACGTTTCAAAGTTGTCGAAGACGAACTGGTGGTTAAATCCCAATTAGTCAGAAGACGGCAACACTTACTCTCTCCTCTATTAAGTCAAAGCAAAGCTTGTTCTCACTCGTGCCCAAATTCAGGATGCCCTGGAAGAGATGGCAGTTGCCAGATGCCACCGCTGCAGGAGGAGGAAAGCACCCGCCGGGGTCCCGCTCTGCCTCCCCTACGCTTGCGGTAC